TTATCAGAGTGGACTATTCCTTAGCTGTAAGCAGAGCTCTCTTTAAATTAAAAATATATAGAGTGGAGCAATAACTGGTGTCATGTTAACTGCGCATATATGCAGTTACCTGGGAAAATATCATTTTATGTCAGCATTACCACTAGTTGTGAAATATATGAAGATTTGCCTTTGTTTTTAATCAAAAACCATCCCCCCCAAGGGATTTAATAAGATAACATCAAAGAATTGAGGTGCATTAAGGGGTGCTCGTTACATTGAAGACATATACTTAATTTTCTACAGTAATTATGTAAGCCATGCCAAAGTACAATGAAGTATGTTAAGGCCACAGTTACCTATCTTAGAGCAGTCACTATGTTTTGCATACTCTTTATTGTATTTAGTCAGGACAATTTAAAATTGTGATGAGATGTGGTGGCAGGTAACAAAGAAATTTTCTATCAAAAAGAAATTAATCGTGCTGTCTACTATGAGGTTTAACTTATATTTGTGTCTTTCTCCTTTTTTTTGGTTTATTAGGTATACATTCACATTCCTGGTGCTAAAAAATTGATGATTGAACTGCCATTAGTGATTGGTACAATTCCATATAATGGTTTTGGCAGCAGAAACTCCAGTGTAGCCAGCCAGTTCAGTATGGATATGAGCTGGTTGACACTGACACTGCCAGAACAGCCTGAAGGTAAAATATTTTGAAGTTCTTTCGTAATGAAGTTTTACATAGAAAGTACCTAAGAACAGGAACATATAAGATATTAAGTGCTCAAATGTTAACTACTACTGCTACTACAGCTGTCGTTATTCTTCTTATTACCAAAAAGTCATAAAACATTATTCTTGGAAAGGGCCTTACAGGTATTAACTTATCCAGGACACAAAGCTGCTGATGGCAGATTCAGGAATAAAATGTACATCTCCTGATTCTGATTCATAATAATAAGATAATGAAAAATAGTCAGAAGTATAGAGTGTTCATTTATTTTCTATAGCCACATTTCAGTGATTTTTGTTTACCTTGATTATAAAACATACATCTCAAAAGGGTAGAATAAAATCAATATTAGTAGTCATTAAATAAAAATATTTTGTTGTAATGGGCAGAAAAACTTGCTGATTATAGAAAGAAATACCATATTGTTATCTTCAAATTTAGATAAATTTCTTAGTTTTGTATAAGTTCACAAGAGAGTAATTTTTGCATGGATTTCTTAGCTCCAACTTCATTTCTGTTTCAGCACCACCAAATTATGCAGATGTGGTATCAGAGGAAGAATTCTCTAGACACATTCCTCCTTATCCTCAGCCCTCTAACTGTGAGGAAGAAGTATGCTGTCCTATGTTTGCCTGCATACCAGAATTCCGGTTCCAACCTCCACCTCTTTATTCAGAGGTAAACAAAGCAAAAGAAAATTAGACTTTTATTGCACTGCTTACAAATAACTATTTATAGTTGTCCATTAAAGTGTCTGTTGTCAACTCATAATTTGTAGGAGAAACATAAATTTGTTTTTACAGTGGTGATAGATTATGACTGATCCATTTACCACATTTTCCAGTATTTTCCTTGTGATCTGTGGCATCGTATACAGTATTGTGGATTTCCTTTAAGATGTTTTATGTGGCCATGGAATATGGAGAGCTTAAGTGGCCTACTGGGACTTATTAATAATAGGCTCTGGGCAACTTGGCTTATAACCATCATGTAATTATAATGGAAATAGATACTAGAATCATTTTAGAGAATGCTGCAACAGTAATCTTGGTCTGCGCTTTTTTGCAGGTTGATCCACATCCTAGTGATGTAGAAGAGACCCAGCCTGTTTCCTTCATTCTCTGAATAGATTTCAGAAATCACTGTGTTCATCATCAAATCAGAATGTTCATTCTTCTGCCTTTTTGGGAAAGAGGGAGGGAAGATTCACTTAAGAACGTAAATGAACATCAAGACTGAAGGCAATAGAAATTAAAGCATACAAGAACTTTCTAGTGGGTCAACAGGATCTTTGCACAAGTTTATATGATGGTCGTATATCCCTTTTAAAAAATGGGATGAAGATGTAAAAAGTCACAGAATGTAACGGAAGTCCTGACAGTGATAGAGTAAGTGAAGGGGTGCCGGCGCTGACCTGAGAAAGGAATCTGTAAACAGGGGAAACACTATGGGAGCTTCCCACAGTGTTTTTAAAAGTATCCTAAACTTAAGGCAATATGGACTCAGTGGGAGGAGGCTTGGTTTTGGAGAGTGTAGCAGCACAAGGGTGGGCATGAATAGGAAAATGGCCTACTTTAAATACAAAGGGAGACCCACAGGTTTCAGGGTCTTCATGATTTCTTACCATATTACCATATTCAGGCCTGAAGTCCTTGAAAGTCTCTTTTCTTGAGATCATGGTCATGTAAGGTCCTAATGAAGTCATACAGTTTTCACTCTTTCAATGGTAGGTTAAAATGTAGTTTATAAATTGGCTGTACAGTACTATGAGACTAAGAAATGGCTTCTTGAAAAACTTCTCAGTTGAAAGGGGAAAGATGAATTTTAGAATGAAAACACATTTTGTTGAAGGCTGTACTTTTCACCCCCTTTAAGTACTTTAACAGGATATATATTTGGTTTTCCTTACATCTTATTTACCTAGGAGCACATTAGAGAAAGAAAGGGGATAAAAACGTTGCATCTTCAGGATGCCTTGATAACTACACAGTTGAAAAAAAAAAAAAAGCCTTTCCTATATCTACCTCTCGTGGGTTATCAGATATGTTTTTAACACTCTGGGTCAGATCAGTCTTCTCTGGAGTTTCTGCTATTTGCAGTAGCAGTCATCCCCCCGTCACTAAATCTGAATCTGGGCCAAGGGAAAATCCGAAGGTTGGCATTAAATGGAAGTAAATATATGTATATCAAGGGAATTTCAAAATAAATGCAAAATCAAAAGAGGGTAGGAACAATGCCATTTTTAAAAAAGACACAAATTTAATTCCTATCAAGAGACTTTAGTCTACTGATGGCATTCACTGCATTGTACATTGTTATTCCAGTTCTTCAGTAATTCTGTTTAAACTGTGATTTTCTTTATTGTTTTGGTGCAATATTTTATTATCATTTAACCTCAGGATATTCAGACCAACAGGATTGTGTTGCTGCTAAAAGTCTGAGCAGTGTTTTTACTGTCTCTGTCTCCCCTCCTATTCATGGTCACATTTTCACTCACTTTTCCTTCCACCTGTTGGTTTTGTGAGCTGAGAACATTTCTGGACACTAAGTGGAAGGGAGATAGGGATTCCCATGATAGAGGCTTTAGACCAGCAAGTACTTTGGTTTTCTCCGTGTTCAATAAGGGTTTGATCTAGAAACCCTGGTGCTTCCCCTACAGAATACTGTACTTAAACAGAATGATTAATTTGTCTTTGAATCAATCAGTATATTCACTTAGAAATAGAAAAGTTCTTCTAAGGTTAAATTTTATATTTAAAAATTAGTTGGTCATTTGATCAGGGATTTTTCTACAAACATTAAGTAAATGTATGCTTCTCACCCTTCTGGACATACCTCCATTCTCTGTAATCGCGGAAGCATTGTGTATGCACTTCTTGCATTGTAATCCACTGTCTAAAATCACAATGCAAAGCTATTAGACCAGTAATTGTGGTACTGAAATTGTCACAAAATTTTATTCTTGATTTTATTTTAGTGATGTTTTATTTTGCTTTTCTTGTATGTGTCTTTACATAGGTATGTATAGTGAAGTGCTGTCTAAACAGTTTTGTTTTTACTTTAGAAAAGACCACCTTCAACTATTTATTGACTTCTGAGTTGTAGTTTACATGCCTTGTCAAGACATTGTCCATCTCCATGATACCAAAACAAAGTGAAAGAAGCAAACTCAAACAGTATGGATGGAGAGAAAGTTTAATTACTTAATGGAATTCTTCACTAGGATTCTTTATCACCTTTATTACAGAAATCATGAAGTGCCCCTGTGAAATTGAAGCAGAGCTAACTTTGTACATAGTTAAGAGAATGGCTAAAAGGTGTGACTTGCCTTATTGAATTGATAGTGGTGTATCTGACCTTAAGCAGTAGGTTGAAACTGCATACTTTTTTATAATCAAGAGAGCATTTTATGAATGTAGAAAATTCTACATTGGAACAGAGAATACCTGGGAATGAAGATAAAAATTTAGCTGCTGTTATTTGCTTGTTTATCCCCTCTTGTTCTTGTTTAGTTTGCAGAAATAAAACTGTGGCCTTAGAATTTTCTTTTTGATGCAAAAATTTTGAAGTTGAAAATGTGCATCTTTTGGCACACAAAATCATTCCATGGGCGAAACTTTACTTTTTATGTTTTTGTTTTGCACAATAAGAAACTCAATAGGCAGGGGTTATGTTTTTGATAAGTTGACTATGAAAGCTTTTTTTTTATTTTTGTTATTAAAAATGTTAACAATTTAACCCACAGAAAAAAAATAAAGATTGTATTTTGTACTCTTGTTTGAACCCCATGGGTTCCTTTTGTTAATAAAATGATTACATTAATGGTGTGAGTTGCTAGTTTTGTGGTTTATTTGGGTGTTTTTTTTTTTTTGTCTTTGAAAGACTGTGATTTAAATTATTCTGGACTTGGGAAATCAATCCAAAAAACAAAATGTTACAGCTAATATCCTTTTGTCTAAGCATGCTATCACAGGGCAAGGCATAGCCCTAAGGAATCTGAACTCATGTTTATAGTGGGCTCAGCTTCCCAAGGTAATCAGTTTTTAGCAATTCCATGAAGAAAAGCAGTCAAGATGAATAAGGAAGCTAAAGCTATATTGGTTGGTAAGAGAGCATATTACCATTTATTCCCAAATGATAATGGCCACTCTTTAAAGCCTCCTGAGTTTGAGTGTTTTCTTTGCCAGAATCTCCCCAGTATTGATTTAGCAAATCTAGTGGGCAGTCAAGGGACCCATACTGGGAAACACTGACCTAAGTAAACCTCCCCTTTCTACGTAAATACTTAAGTGGATACAAGTGATATGTTTTGTACAAGAAAAATGTGCTAGTAAGTCATCGCAAGGAAACTTCCCAGAAAATTAAAACCTTAGCTAAGCAGTAAGAATTAGTCCAGTTAATTTAATCTCCAGTTGATTTTAATATGTGAAATGGTGTTACGTAATAAATAGGTTGTTCCTGCGTCCATGTTTGTAATTGAACAAAGCTAAAGTATTTGTCTGAGGCAAAATTTATAAAATCACCATTAAAGTTTCTGTAGTTTATGGTAGAAAGTTGTGGATTGTAGAATTTAGAACTAGGCAGGACACTACAAAAAAACTAGATCAAAGTCCTTAAGTTACAAATGAGGATACCAAAACCCAGAGAAGCATAACCTGAGAGCTTGGCCTGCATGCTCTGTGAGGTCCCTGCTTGCCCTGAAATTTCCTGATTCTGCAATTTTAATAGAAGTGTTGGAAACGGCCACTGCATTCAGTTACATAGCTTAAGAGTTGCAGACCTGGGATCCTAAGCATATGCTAAATCAGAAGTCTTCAGTGTTTATATCTAAAAGCCCAGCCTCCTGCACGGACACCAGTCTGACTAAATTGCTTCCTAAGTTTGGTTAGTAGCTAGAATCCTTTCTTCAACAGAGGTTTATGTTTTTTACCTCTATATTTTGAAATAATTATAGACTCAAAAGAAGTTGCTGTAATAGTACAGAGAGGTCCTTTGTCCCCATCACCCAGTCTCCCCCAGTGATAACTATAGTACGTTAGCAAAACCAGGGCATGGACAACACAGACAATCAGCTGGAGTTCAGACCTTACTTGGATTTCACCAGTTTTTGCATGCTCTCATTTTTCTTGTGTATGTTTTTTTCATATAGTTCTATGACATTTTGTCTCGGAGGTTTATGTATCACCATCAGAATCAAGATACAGACCTGCTGCATCACCTCAAAGAAACTCCTTTGGGCTGTTCCTTTGCAGTCACACCCCCCACTTCCCTTTCCTTCCTTCCGTTCCCCCCATCTCTTTTTCTTCTCTATAATTTTGTCATTTTGAGAATGCTGGATACACGGAATCAGTATGTACATTTAGAGATGGGCTTTTTTCAGTCATCATAACACCCCTAAGATCCATGCATGCATCAATAGTTTGTTCCTGTGTATTTCAGCTGAGCTGTTTTAAAAGAAACAACTGACGACTACTTAAAATTTCATTTTGCACCTTACAAAGAAAATGCCTAAGATTTATATGCACATGATACCTTTGCAAATATTTTGGTTTTGAGTTTGAGAATGAATTTCATATAGAAAATATATAAATGCAGATTTACACAAACTTTTAGGGGCTCATTTTTAGCTTATCAGAGTACTCAAAATATTTTGCCTTCCCATATCAAGATACTGCATTATAAATGAGCAGGATACACCTATGATGAAATTATAGCACAAGGAAAAACTATATTCAGGTATTTATCATATTGGCTTCTGAATCTGATAAATTTTAACATAAATGATGGAGGAAAGAGACATTTGCCTTGTTTGTTGGTATATTAAATTTCCTGAATTTTTTCTTCTTTATTTCCTGCCTCTTCTTTAGTTCCCTTCTTTAACAGTTACTTCTTAATATCTGATGAGATGGAAAGCCCACTTCGAAACAGAGAATAGTTTTTAACTACAAATATGTGTTTATTTTTAATGAAACAATATTATAAAACATGGGCTTGTTAAGATTATTAGATTTTTCTAAACAGGAGAGCTCTTATTTTATAGAAGCCATTACATTGCTAATGTAAGGAGCTTTTCCTAAAAACCGGACATGAATCTGTCGGTGATGAGAGGAAGAGGCAAAATAGAAATACATGGTGATAGGAGTGGAGGGTAGATGAAAAGTATTGACTAGTGCCAATTTCTGGAATGTTACTGTAACTGAGTTCACCATGAACTGTTGCTTTGGTGGAACTATTTCTGCGTTCACTGATGGATATTTCATCCCTGCCAAATTTTCAAGGAACCAAGATGTCTTGCATTGACAGGAAGAGACATGATTTAGACAGCATTTCCCATTGGGAACAAGGAAGACGTGGATGTTTCACTCATACTTGCAAATGTCCCCCCACACACACACACATGCACACACACTGTTACCTCTTGTTCTTTCATCTCCACCCTTTACCTCCAGACCTGGGTCTATTTCAGGTGAGAATGTCAGCTCTGTTACAAAAGGAAGAAACAGACAATAAGTTCCTGCTTCCATGGGAATCTGCTGGATGCGAAGCCCTTTTCTGCCAGCTTCTTACCAGTCTGCCCCAAACAGTACAAGACTAGTAGAAAGGAGTCAGGGAAATGTTATTAAATGAGTAAACTGAAGGCAGTAGATGCCAGAAATTTTTCTTTTCCTTAAAAAAAAAGGCCAGAATCCATCTAATTGTCCACATAATAAGTGTTCTATACGTGATGGCTTGTTTGTATTAGCTATCACTGAAAATATTTGGACTTGCCTGAACTGATTTATTGAGTTGATTCAATAAAGTATAAAGGTTTATGGTTCATTGTTAGCTTATTTCAAAACACAGCACACGCAAATGCACACACGGGCACACAAGGCTTGTACACACATGCGCATGAACACACACACACATGCTTCGTGTCTTGGCTGGAAACTTCACCCCATGGGCAAGATAACTCATCCAAATTTGCATTGTTTGTATACCTGGAAATCAAGAGGGGGCATATTATCACCATCACTTCATCCCACTACTAGAAGAACACAAAGCATGAGCTTTATTTTTAGTAGCTGATAGATTAGTGGGCAGTAAACAGGTAAGGGATGAGGAGGCCTTCGATAAAATCCCATATCTCATACACACCCAAAATCACGGCAGTACAGGAAGCCAGAGGCAAAACCCTAATATTGAAACACAATAGTTCAGGGAATGACAGGTCATGGAGCACGTGTGAGACCATCTAAGACACTGCACTGAGGGTTCACTATTTGAAAGCTTTGCTGCAGATCCATTCTAATGCTTCCAAGAGAGATGAGGTTATGGAAAAACAGCTTAGGAACCCAAATGCTTTTATAATTTTCTTTTCTCCTGCCTAAATTAACACAAGTTTAAGAAGTATGTGGAAGTGTGTGTATGCATACACATGGAAGAAGTGTGATATTTAGCTAAAGTCTCTAGTTTCATCTTCCTTAGGAGAGGATAAAGCTAAAGATTCTTGGTAACCCTCTTAAGAGAACCTACATCTACAGCGGTGGATTTAAAAGCAAATCTTGATGTGTGTATTTCATCCTTAATTCAGCCATCTGGCCCTCTTACGTAAATGCAGAATGCTGGGTACCAGGGGAAACTGTAGCAGCAAACAGGTACTTTTATCTTATCTGACATAACAAAAAAAAGGTTGGTCCCAATGTCAAGAGATAGCCTATCTCAAACACTATGGCTGCAAACACCAACAGCTGTTCCTCTAAGAGAGTGGCAAGATCGCATCAGATAAATGCAGTATTTTTAAGATAATTAACCTCACTGTACTTGAAGCCTTTTTAAAACAACCAGCCCCAGAATTGTTCTGTCAAGGACAAAACAAACATAATTCCCTCTACCAATGGGAAAATGTTTTAAACAGTATCTACATTGAACAGGGGGGATTTCTGACAATCTCAGACTTGCTGCTGAACATAATGTAGAAGTCTTTCTGGGGGAGAACTGAGTTGGTGTGAGCCAGGCAACCTACATGTTAACCTTTCTCCAGCCTCGGCCAGCCAGAGGCACCAGGTCTTTGAACTTCGGCCTTAGCCTGACTGGTTCCAAGACAAACAGTATGTCTGCAGGCTCAAAGGCAGCTGCTAGTGGGAGCTGGAATGTGTTTTATTGCACCAGGTCTGGTCTGAGCCTGGACGCCTGAGCACCTGCCTTGCTCAGCCATTGCCTCTCCTTGGCTGTGTGACCCACAGGTGGGGCTGGGCCCACACTAAGAGAAAGCCCGTCCCAGACAGCAGTCTGCTTAGCTTAAACCCAAAGCCTCAACTCCAACACCAGGAACGCCTGGGAAGGAGGGTCCAAGAAATTCCTTAAATCAGGGAATAAATCAGACATGGGCTGCCAGCAGCAAAAATGAGGGCTCCACATATTAGATAAGTTCACTAAGAGAAAATAGTCTTTTTTGGTAGCGGGGTATGGGGGGAGTGTGGGTGTTTGATGTATGGTTTGGGGGTTTTTTTCTCCTTTGAGCCTATTTTTGTGAAGGAAATTTATACCTTAAAACCAAAACAATCCCAAAACTGGAGCCTGTCTCCTTCCCCACCCAGGCCCCTGATGCCCTGCTCAGTGACTCCCAGCCCTTCCCCAGGGGGACCATCTTGTCCTGGCTTGCCCAGGACTTTCTCAGTTTTAGCACTGGAAGTCTTATACCCCAGGATGCCCTCAATCCCAGGCACATGGCCACAGTTGTTCACCCTCCCTCTCTCTTC